CAGAATTGGTAACCGTAGTTGCCCCGTTATAGGCTAGTTTTATTGCAGTTTCGCGTGTGTGAATCGAGCATTCGAGGCTACCAATATTTCTTTTATTTTATTTTCATGGTCTCACTGTGTCTCAGTGTTGTATTCCTTTTATAGGTCAGCTTAGCGATTGGAACTTGTAATCAAGGTTCAGAGATAACCTAACTTTTGCTGACTATAAAAGAAACTTATCTTAATTCTTTTTAGCGTACTTAAAGAAAAGATGATTCGAGAGAGTAATTATTTCACCGCCTATTATGTTTCAGAAGCAGTAAAAAAATGTCGTTCTCTAAGAAGAAGACATTTAACAGATTCATTGTCAGAAGTGTTCTTCGTAAAATTTTTCGCAAATTCGACTAAAACTACGTTAGGTCTCTCAGACTACGCGTAGCAAACACAGTGACGTGCTGTGCACAGGGTCAAGTTAAGGCAGCCCCTTCAGAGCCGACTTTACGATGAAAATACACGTCTCTCCGGGATTGGTATAATTTTCTCTTATTGTGGGGACGCTGGCGCCGTGACGCTGCATTCGCCTGCGCCACGAAAATAGTCGACGCGTCGGGGAAGGATGAAAGGCCAGACCCGAAGGCGAGAAACGGACAAAATGACGAGCAAAGGGGAGAAAATCGCGGCGATCGTGTTTCCTCGGCCCTTCTCCCCCCACTCCCTTCTCAAGTCTCCTAACGCCGGCTAAAAATAAATATCGCGCCATTCGAACGAGGAAAGCATGTCCTTGCCTCGTCTGACAACCGTAAGTGCATTATTTGTACATGCAGTAATGTACCATATCTCTTTTTACTTTAGGTTAGATACGTCCTTTTTGCTATAATGTTTTTAAAGCGTAGGAAGATTTTTCTGAGCCACTGTTTACGTTATACATATTTTCATCTTTTGAGGTTATATATGCTTCTCTGTGTACACTATATAAGTATAGTACGATAAGTTATGTACTTATGTTCTTCCAAATTTTCTCCACTTTTTATTTCCTCAGACTATGCACATTTACCTACATCCTTCGAAATTTTTTCACTTAATTATTTTTAGGTTATGTACGCTTTATAAATTCCTCGAAACTTTTTTCCTTCGAGGTTATGTATATTCTCCTTTGTTCTCTAATTGTACACCGTGCCTCCGGCAAGAGGTGGTATCGAAGGATCAAACCTCTCTCACGTGATACAGTTCGCGGCAGGATTACGAAATATTGGAGCCGGTTGCCCAAGATACACTATGTGTCCGGTAGTTTCTCTTTGTTCCACTGGCTGCCTCCTGGATAACCGGCTATCCATTCTACACACACACATTCTCGTCTCGAAGTGTAATTACACGGTTCTCGCTAGTCGAGGCGATCCATTTTAACCCGTTAGAAGCCGAATTACGCTTTTTCTATTAAATATCATGCAACCCCGTGTAATATGCGATTACCATCGCACGGTAACACGGTGAAAAACAGGGAGTTTCTTTAGCGGGCTATTATCTAATCGGAACATTGATATTTCTAACCTCAAATAATGGGTTTCGAGGCCTGGAAATAATTTTAAATAGCTGTGGAATTAGAGTTGGCAGATACTTGGAGAAAATCTTGCATATAAAGGGTGTCGCAGTAATTCTAGCTCAAATAATAAGAGGGAAGATTGTTTGGAAAAATTGTGGGGTTCTGAAAAGGGCCCAATACGGTGGCGATAATTTTTTTCTTTTGCATATGGAGGCTCACGGGGAATTCAGAGGCAAAATAAAAAAAATATTGGAAAGGAATTTTTTAACTTTTTACCATTGAGGTTAGAATAATAATAATAACAGTAATTCTCATTGTATACAAGAACTTGGAAAATTTTTTCTGCCATTGCAGAACGGTTAGAAATCATTACAATGGATTATTCAGAAACTTCAATGTCCAATGGAGGCTGCAGTGATTGATAGATCGACGAAAAAAGAATGAAAAATATTCCTATAGGATCCTTTGTCATGGAATCCTCGTTGTTTACGATGACGCATCAAAATGGCCAGCTCTAATTGGTTGAAAGCATCTCATTGAACTGAAGAGAAATCGAAAGAGTCGACTGTGGAACGAAGTCATTGCAGCATCGTGGAATCGATTCACTCTTTGTTGAGCAATCGGTCATTTACAATTCTATCTACACTTGTTCCGCGTTCAATAAATTAAGAAAAAAAAAAAAAAATAAAATAAAATTACAATGGGATTTCTTGTTGTGAGTCGTGTGGACCCCTATAACGGTGGCCATTATCGTCACTTGACATTTTTTAAAAACTTATTTTTTGGTTAAGTATATTACTATGTCTATTGTAGAGAAAACATTTGATAACAAATACTATTATATTGGCTGTGAAAAAATTTGTTTAATAAAAAGTGCTACTATATCCATTAAGAAAACGACTCTGTATAGAGACGCCCACGGGTCTTCCTGTTCCTCAATGGCCACCATGGATCAATCAGGACCCACTCACGACCACGTGGCATCCATCATGGCTGCCGACAACGTCCTGAAGTAAATATAGCCCCATAGAGGAGTCGTAAAGTGAAGTTCATGGAAGATCGATTGAAAGTTACTTAATGGGCACTGGGTCAGTAGACACTCGATGACGGTCAAAGACGGGCACTTGGTAATTAAACTGACCACCCTGTATTATCCACGATCGGTTAAGTGACACTCATCCCCAGTCTTGTGATGATCGAATTATTATGGGGTCATTGGATTATTACTCGGGTGTAAAACTGGTAGTAAAAAAAATAACTGTCGGTCGTTTTCAAGGAAAATGGCTGCTCTTAAAGGTCAATCGTGGTAAATACGTGTAAATGCTGAGGAAAGTTCATACTGAAGTGACCAGTGGCCTTTGCAGGATTAGCAGAGGGTCGTTTGACCTTAGGTTAGGTTCCCCTTACATGGTGGTTGAGGTTAACCTAAAAAAAATCAGTCGATTTCAGTGTTCCTCGAGACAAAGTGGTTTGGAACAATGGGCTCGAAGTCGACAGAGCGTGTGTGCACTCTTCCAGGTCATATTTCACGCATGGTTGACGTTCAAGAAAGGAAAAACGAGACATAACCTCAATAGGTACAAATGTACCACTCACCGTTCATAGATTATGGGCCTTAAAATTCAGCCTGCTTAAAAATACATTGTGAATAGTCGAATTGTACTTGTTAGTAAGTAAAAAAAAATGATTGTACGTATTTAAAGAAAAGAACAAACGGTGGATCAATCCCAAAACTACCCACATTTTCCTAATCCTACTATCCCTCCTGCAGAAAATCATATTGCCATTCAATGGAAGATTAAAATCTTCTCATGAATCGTAGAAAATATTCCTAAAGAAAATTCAGGCCCATACAAAATGGTGAATAAGTCCCAAAACTGGCCACAGTTTCACAGTACCGTTGTTCCCCCCTGCTATTAATTATCACCATCGTGAATTCTCGTGTTATGGGAAGAGACGAATAGAAGTTTCTCGCTTTGTCAGCCCAGCATCATTAGGGTTGTCCCCCCTTACCTCCATTCCCCGTCCAACTGTGGCTTGTTTCTCCCTCCCAGAATTCCTGTTCTATTTCACACGAGTGACATGTACACGCGAGCAACTGGCATCACGAGAAAGGCACACATTAGGGTCGAACGGAAACGGATATTAGAAAACGTCACATTTCGAGCTGTTTTTCCGTGACGACCACACGTCGACGACGACCTCGCCGGACAGACGTCGATAAACGACGTCACACGCGATGGCCTCGATTCCTTCAAGGATAAGGTCTGTGTAAAGGAGAGAAGGAGGAGATTCAGGGAGAGCTCTCGATCACTTTCGCCATTCTAAACGCGCTCGAATTTCTAAGCGCTCTGATACGCTTTGGACGTGTGCTACGTGTGTTCGATGTGATCGACGCTGGGGAGAAATTCGTGGGAATCGGCGCGATTTCGCGGCTCCTGGTGGGATTAGGATTCGTTGTTTGTTAAAATTCGAGCGAAGTTTTCGCGGAGTATCTGGTGTGGTTTCGTATTGAAACGAAAGGAAACTTTGAAGATTGACGGTTTGACGAAGCTTCAAGTTTAATTCGAGCATCGAAAAATTGTAATTTTTGGAAATTTGAAAATTCGAAAAGTGAACATGTGAAAATTTGAATATTCGAAAATTTGGCATTTCACCAGTTGGAAATTCAAATCGTCGTGTAATTCGTAATTTTTCGAAATCCAAAAATGATCCGTTTCTAAAATTCGAAATTTATACCGAGAAAAGGTGAAATGAAGAGTATTTTAAGTACTACGGTATTCTTCTTGAAACATAATTGGCTGACAAGGAAGGTTAATTAGCCACCGGTCAGTTTGCTTTATAGAAACCGGTCTAAGGTTGCACAATTTCAATTGATCCGTTGAACCTTGGCACAGTATATGCGGTTTTGCTCTCGAGGTGTAACATGCTGCATGTATATTTAATAAGGTAAGAATCGTGCACGACACTTCTTGTTCCAGACGCTTGCTGATGTCATCTATTCAAATATCCACATGATACTGACACCCGGCGGATAAAACCAAACTCGCTCCGTGTATTTAGCACTGGTTCATGCTTGTCATTATATAGAAGTCGCAGAACTTTGTATACATAAGCACAGAATGAACTAATATTCTTTTAAATGCTAAAGAAAGAAAGAGAGAGAGAGAGAGAGAGAGAGAGAGAGAGAGAGCGAGAGAAAAAAAAAGAAGAAAAATATGGAAAGTCATATATTTATTTTCGTAACGTTTAAAGAGATAAGATAGATATGATTTTCATCTCAGTGCGTCCATTGTGGTGCTGTAAATTAAGTAAAGAGACAAACCTATAAAAAAAAAGAAAAAAAAAAAGGAAACTAGAAATAAAATAAAATTCCCTCGCAAAAATTCCAAGTTTCCGAAATTCGTAATACCCGCTGCACTAAAAATCCCTCAGAATAATATTAAAGAAAAAAACGTCTGACAATAAATTAAACACTCACCGAAAGTGTCCTCGGGATCTCCGAATCTTCCAGCCTCTGTAAACCAGCAAAGATCTTCCTAAGATGAATATTTTACTTCTGCAGCACTGTGAAAAATGTCAAAGTCCACGAGTGATAAGTTTCGATCTCGGAGAGTAATCACTAAGCACCACAACACGAGAGATTCCCTGATGACGAGCGTGCAGAGGCTCGCTCGGGACTGGGGAAACGCGACGAGAGCAGCACGTCAATGAAAGAACGCCGGCTCCGCCGGTGCTCGTTCGGCCAGCTCCTGCACGTGCGCGTGCAACACGCACGCGTCCGCACGCTCTCAGAGCGTGGATGGCTGCGTGAAGGGTCTGCTCTTCCCTCCGCCGACCCTTTTTGCCATGATATCAGGCTATCGATTCGCACAGACACCGGCTGGACGCTCGCTCCTCTTCGTGGAACCGGTGAATTTTTTCACTATGAGCTTCTTGTGAGCAAAAGTGGAACGTTTGGTGGAGCCTGTAGGCCTGCGCTTTGTCTTGTGATTGATGGCCGGTGTTGGTGGTGGTTCAGGATCAATTTTTGTTCAACAGCTATTGGTGCATCTGGTCCATTAATCAACTTTTGTTCGTCTGTTATCGGTGGGTCTAGTTGGTTCAGGATCAATTTTGTCGTTGATAAATCACTTCTGGATCTGGTTGGTCTAGAATCAATTTTTGTTTATGAATTATTGGTATGTCCGATTACGTCAGGATCAATTTTGTCATTCGTGAGCTAGTTTGGAGTATATTGGTTGAGGATTAATTTTTACTCAGGATCAATTTTTTTCTACTGACTGGAAAATTGATATTTTTACAAATCTGCTTGGACATTATAAGATGAAAATATCCTCAGTGGATATTTTCTCAGATGGATCATATTCCTTGGAATCTTGATGACCATAGCTATAATAGCTCATGACTACATTTACTCTCATTCCTAAACTATCAGAAAGAAGAAACAAATTTTTTAATATCCTTAAAAAATTCTTTAATTAAAAATGTACCATTTTAAAGTTTTTCCAAGATACTTCCATTCTTGAATTATACCAATCCTTTAGAAGTATTCAATTCTGCAATCAATTATACTCCTTATAAATACTATATACCTAATGTCAAAAACAAGGAAAAACGTAGATTAACCATTAGGACAGTTTATTTCACAAAATTATCGTTACAAGTACAAAATGTAAGGGAGAAAATTGCATCACACGAGGATATAAAGGAAGAGTATACAGTGTGGTGCATACAAACACAGTTCACTTTGCCAGCCAGTGGAATCGCGTTGCACGTGCCTCTGGCTCGTTTCTTGCCTCTTCGTTCCCAGAAACGACCACCGGTCACCTGCTCTTAATCGTCGCTCTCTGTAGCTGGCGAATGGTCTGAAACAGGATTATCTCGTTAAAACTTTCGAACGTGCACACCTTCCTCTCTTGAAAAGAAAAGAAAAAAAGAAAGGAAAGAAGACTTCGCCGACTCTTCGTCGATTCCAGCGAACCAGGGCTCGTTTCCTCCTACCGCGTCTTTTCCATTGTCTTTCCATTGTTTCATGTACACACGTTTGTACTTACTTCCTACCTGGGTCGATACTCTCTGTTTCTTCTTCGCTTTTTTCTTTCGTGCACTGTACAATAGCGGTGTTGGAGGGAAATTGTTATGTCAAAGGGTGTTCGGTCTGGGAATCTTTTTTTTTTTTCTTTAAAGAATCGTGTAGTCTACGTTAGGGAAATTTTAGATAGAGATCTATCAGATTTCTTGGGATCATTTTTATCAAAGTGATTTTTGCTCGAAATTGTGCATACTCTGTTAGAATCATTTTTATTACCTTACAAATTTTGGTTTGGTGAAGGAAAATTTGATCAAAAATCACGCGACGTCTAATTTTTAATTAGATAAGAATTTTCAGCTGCAATATGTGTAAAAATTGTATACATTCTACGAGAACAGTTTTTATTAAAATTTCTTCGAATATTAACAAAGAAAACTATTCGAATGCTGTTGAGCTTATTTTTAGACATATTTAAACGACTGAGGAGTTTTTCATCATTGTTTTAGATTTTTCTGAATAGAAGATATGAATAAAATATGTACCCTTTTTGCATCCTCTAGACTGGCAGGAATGTACTTTGAATTCACCGTTTGTGCCAGGCTGCTGTAGTCCCTGTAAAGGACGTATTGATCCTTCAGCCACTGCCTTATCATCAGTATTCTCTCCTGTACCCCAGCAACCCCATCTTTGCCCTTTGACATTGCATCTTCGAGATCTATTCACAAAAAAGAAATGCACTCACCGTTATATTACAATAATTGAATAATTCATAAATTGGTATGACCCAATAGTTCAATTCAACTGAATCAATATTGAAGCATAAATCAATAATTCAATATTCAGAGAGGATCATAATCCATAGAAATTCACAAACTTAGAAATACAAATTACTGAATAATTATGAAAAAATATATCGTTGTATTTAAGACAATTACAATCCGCAATAATAAATTAATAAATCAATTAATTAAAGCTGCCCAATAATAAAATAGAATTCAATCATTAAAATCCACAAAATGTACAAATCAACAAATACGCATGGAAAAATGAAATTATCAATTACTCGGTAATGAAAGAATTAAAAAAAAAAGAAAATATGTCGTTATATGTGAGATAATTGAAACCGGACATGGTTCAGAGAAACGAGGACACTGTTTCCTTTTTAACAAGGAGATTAAAGGGGGAGCCACGTACCAGGCTTCATAAACGCTGCAATTTTTGGAAATTCGAGAGGCCTGATGGCGGATAATTGGGAAGAGGCGACCTGTTCGCCAGGTCCGAATTCTAATCGCGTGTGTTCCAGCTCCAGTAAGTAATTACGAATGTCCTCGCGTTCCTGTTGCAACCTGAGAAACGCTGCATTTTTTCGCAGACGTTGTGCTTGCCTGCAGTCGAATCTCGACTGCTTCCCCTCGACTTTCCCGTAATTCAACGTTTTTCGATTTTTCGACGACTTTGAGATCTTTTTACTCTTCGTTCTCTTCTCCTTCTTCCTTTGATCCTGATTGCAATCCTTTGCCTGAAAGAAATTTTTCACGTTTGCTACGTAATTTCTCCGTTCGTTCAATTTCTCGTTTAATTTAACTTTTCTATTCGTTTACAACTCTCGATCTTTTGTCTACGTTATTTTGCGCACACATGGATCTACACCCATGAAGAAAAACAAAGTTTTCTAATAAATTTATAACCAGAAAATAAAAAATGAATAATTCGTTAAATTTACCATTCTAACATTCTCCAAGGAGGAACCATCGTCGCTCTCTTCAGCTTGAAGATTTCTCGACACGTCGGCAGGAGGAAGTCTCACCACGTTCCCACAATTCTTACAATGCCTAGATTTACTCGAAACCACCCTCTCTGTGTGAACTCTTCGTTTCCTAACTATAGCATTAATCGCGTCCTTGTTCAACTTCCTCAGAGTACTAGTGACATCCGATTTTTTTGGAGTCTCGCTCAGAAATATTCCCTCACTGGAGACCACTTCCGGTTCGTCATTTCCCACCTGAATGTTTCCCTCCGCTACATCACCGCACACCTCTTTATTCCCTTCGCATTGCAAAATATGCCCTTCTTGATTTTTTACACTTTGCCTGAAAGAAAAAGAAATTCCATTTTAATTTTTCTAATTTTGGCTGACCGAAAGAAAAGAAAAAAATCGACGTTTACGTGGACGTCGAGGAGCCATTTTGCCTCGATGCATTAGCCTCCATATTGTCTTCCTTTCGTTCCGTTAATCTTTCGTGCTCAGATGTCGCAGAGGAGTCAGTTTTCTCCTCGGTATTCTCAATCGACGACTTCCTTTGTCTCCTGGACCTCTTCGACTGTCTCTTCATCGGCGTTATTTGTTTGGATTGTTTCAGAAGGCTGATCGGTATCGCCTCGTCCATGTTCTCAGACGTCCTCACGTAATTCGATAGTTCCTCGTCCAACCCTATGTCGCACTCACTCGTGCTCTGCATTATTTTCGGTGGCACCAGCTCGACTATTTCTTTGCCTCTGGAGGAAACAACGATACAACAGCTGTTAACGGGAAATTTCGAAGAGGACAAATTTTTGGGCAAATTTCGTGGATCTCGAGATGTCCTCGAAGCTCTACCTTCGTTACAAAATATTTGTTTAGAGGGTGCAAAAAAATACAGGAATTATAACTATCGTTATTTAAATTTTTTATTTATTAAAAATGCATAAATTCTATTGGGATGTCTGTGTGGTGTTTACGACGCTACAATGTTGCTGTACAATGTTTTAATACCTCCAGAAAGGGGAAAATAATTGTGAAGTGTCCTGGAGGCATCCCTGACGTTACACGACCACTGTTTAATTTTTTAATATTCAAAGAAAAGCGTGAATATAATTTTCGGGTTTCCTCAAGGTGTCGCAAACTTCAACCTAACCCTATTCAACTGTCCAATCTCTTTTTACCTCAAAGTATCCTTAAAAAAAAAAAAAAAGGAATTACAGCCCAATTAACCTGTTCATCGATCTGTCCTCATCGACGACCACCTCATGGATGCTCTCAGTCCTCTTGTGGGGGGTGATCTTGATCTGTTTCACCCCAGAAATCATCGTACTTCTTGTATCTTCCTCCTCCGAGGTCTTCTTCAGCTTTCCCTCCCCAGAACTAGAACTGGAGGGCTCCTCAAACGTGTCGTCCTCGTAACGACTCTTCTGCTCGTCCCCGGAGATGGTATTCACGACGTTGGACAATTCAGAGATAACCTCGCTCCTCCCCCCGCTCACCCTGATTAGTTCCTCAATATTCGACGCTGTTATACTCTCCTCGGCCATTACCGACTCTTGCACATCGAATTTTCCCTCGCTTTTCCTCGACAAAGACTCGTTAATCGACTTAATCACCTCAGAAATTGCTTCAGACACATCTGAGTCTCTGTATTCATCATTGTCCCCTGAAAAATCCCCAGATCCTTGTCTAGTGACCTCGAGCTTCACACTGGAGATGGAATCTTGGCGCTTAGAAGAGGACTCCACGTACGAAACACTCTTCAGAGACTCTATTACCATCGAATTGTCACTCTTCTCTTCGAACTCGTCGTTCTTGTAATTCTCAGACATGGATTTCTTTCCAGGAGAGACTCTGGAGGACTTCTTCGAAGACAAACTCTCAGACACCAAGGACTCGTCGTATTTCGCCAGGCTACTTGGTATCTTCACCTCCATCTTCACTCTTGGGGACACCTATTCAAGTATTTCACGTTTAAAGAAAAGACGAGAATGTTAAAGTAACTTGGAGTTACCAGAGAACCATCTGAGAGTCTTAGAATGAAGTGAAAAAAATTTCAACAACTTCTGACTTCGTCCACAATGTTTCAGTAACCTCTACCTTCACTCTGTTTTTCTCTTCACCGACAATTATCGAAGAGATCTCAGCATCCTCAGATTTGCTCCTGTCATAGATAACCTTGAACTTGGCTGAGAGGTTCCTGGAAGCCTCCTCCAGGGAGCTCTCGGTGCTGACGTTACTTTGGACCCTCTTGCCCTCGTTTTTCTTGGTATTATACTTCCTGTCCATCTCTTTCAACTTCAATAGGGCAGCAGTCGCTTTGGAACGCATCATCCTCCCCGTGTTTTAATTTATTTTTTCAATATTTCCTAAGTTCATCCACCAAGGAGAACATCTCCTCTGTGACTGAGCCTCGCTGGCGTCACTTGTGAATTTTTGGCCGCTCGACCAGTCCAAACGCGTTTGCTATAAGCCGTTGCCAAGGGAACAGTACGTAAACAATGTGCTTGGAAACCTGATACGTCCTTTAGACACGCGGAGTTCCGCCGCGAGGAGTTGATAAGTGGCTTCATTGTAGCTGCCTGTGACGCTCCGTTCGATCGGTGTATGCCATATACCGTATGGGATTCGATCTCTCGAAGGGAGAAACGGGGCCATAAATCCTCGTGGGGCTTCGTGGTCACTTCGTAGACAGTCTTATGTTCGTTGCAGGTGTGAAGAAATTTTGTGTATTGCATAATTCTCGATAACCGACATAGCACCGTTATCTAACGACTCTTCCCTGCATACTGATTACACAAGTGTCCGATAAAATGACATGCGATGCTCGCTGTCGATGCGTCCGATTAATTAGTCAGGAACGTGGAAGACTGAAAACAAACTGACACGTTTGATTATTTTGAAACGGTGTTTGAACAAAAATTCTAAAAAAGAAAAAACCAAGGAAAACATATTTGTGACAGCTGAAAAATTTTTATTCGATGTTTCTCAACACGTAGAATTTTTGTTTCTTAAGATTGAAGAAGCATAAAAGAGTTTGTTTTATACAGGCTTTTATACAGGTGAAGAATTCTTTTCTGGAAAGACTGAGAGAGGGTAAAAAGTGTCAGTCTTCTCAACAGTTAGAAACGCAATAAATTTCGAAAAATAGCAACGTAGGTAGTCATTAAATAACAGTATAATTATCTTCTAATTTATTGACCAAGCTGATAAGTTATTCGAAACGTTTCTCTGTTCAAATATCCCTCCCAAGTGAAATCAACCAATGGGAGCGTTCCATGCAATGAAACCTCCGTATCTCCTACCGTATCGACAACAGATAACGCGAGGTAATCGGTGACGTGAGGTTATGTGCGCACTGCATGGCCAAACTTGCCACGGCGCGGCGCCTCGTTGGTCGAGCGTGGTTAGTAGCGATTGGCCAGCAACAGAGAGCCAATCAGCATCCTCCATCTGTCCGCCCCAGCGGCCGCTAACTCACCAACCACGTCCAGGATTCGTGCATTATCGGCTAGTTCGTCGTTGAGTGAGCAACTGTTCGTCGATCGGACTTTCGTTGTCCCGGCGTCTGAAAATGCGGTCCTTCGGTTCGTTTCTACTTCTGCTTGCGATCACCGTCGTCACAGCTGATGTCTACTTCGAGGAAAAGTTCCTCGACGGTGAGTAAAATCTGTTAAAGAATATTTTCAACCGATATATTCACTTTCCTGCATCGTCTTTCATCTCGAAAACTCTATGCACGAACAAGCGAAGTCTAGAACAATCATAACGGTTTGATATCCGTTTTCCCTGTGAAAACCGCACCCACGTTGATCATTAAGCTAATTTTCCTAGAAAAAGTCGCTATGATCGGTGTACTTTCTGGAAAATCTGGCATTAGGCAAGAACGGAGAGCGTGCGACGTATTTCTCCTTGGTAACCACACGCCCTTGTATGTATCGTAGCCTGCAGTACCGTCCACCTCTGTGTGCACACGGTTTTCTGCATAATTAATGACTGGTGGCGCAATCGAGCGTCGTAGAATTGTTTACGCGGCCATATGCCGGGAGTAGAGATCGAAATTGCTGTGAACGTGGCACGAGACCGTCTCGCGAGCACACGGTACGCGTTCTGCCGACATGACGCGCAATCGATCCCCCCTGCCTCTAGGAACGCGTGTCTCGATTACGCTTATATCGATTTTCCGCCAGTTTTTTTTGTACTCTCGTGAGTGTTGTCGAATTTTCATAAATAAATATTTATTGAGAATTTTTACTTGCTTTACTATTTAATTAATCATAAATTTACGAATGAATTTTGTTACAGATTCCTGGGAGAAGAACTGGGTCTATTCTGAGCACCCAGGAAAGGAATTTGGAAAGTTTGTTCTGAGCCATGGAAAGTTCTGGAATGATCCAGAGAATGACAAAGGTAAATAAGAAAGTTGGAGAAACATATGCAACATTGTGGTACAATTTGTACAATAATTTATTCTATTTTTCTGACAGGTATCCAAACCTCTCAGGACGCAAGATTCTATGCCCTAAGCAGGAAGTTCAAACCCTTCAGCAACAAGGACAAGCCACTTGTCATCCAATTCACTGTTAAACATGAACAGAACATTGATTGTGGAGGTGGATATCTGAAAGTATTCGACTGTGGACTGGAACAGAAAGATATGCATGGAGAGAGTCCATATCAGATTATGTTTGGTGAGAATCATTCATTGTTTGAAGCTTTGGAACAGATTCGAGCCTAGAGTCACTGGTTACACCCTGTGGTGTATTAGTGCTAGAGGAACTCGAAGAGTAACTTCTCGCTTATGCCCTGGGTATAGTAATTATACATATTTCAGGCACCAGTATAGATACAGTACCCCTTTTGATCCAATGTATTTTCGATATTTATTTTTTCCTCTCGCGTCGAAAATACGTAGTTTAGTACGTTTCTGGCAGAGATCCAAGAGACGCGATCATTCTGCTAAATGTAACACTCGAATGTGTATGCTTCTTCACAGGACCTGATATTTGTGGACCTGGAACAAAGAAAGTTCATGTAATCTTTAGCTATAAGAGCAAGAATCTCCTTATCAATAAAGACATCCGCTGCAAGGATGATGTTTACACACACTTGTACACACTGATAGTCAAGCCTGACAATACATACAAGGTAGGACATTAAAACGAATCTTAAAATAGCGTGGATGTATCGAGCTTAGAGTCACATGTTCTCGTTGATTGCTGTGAAGAATAGGTGCTGAAAGACCTCGAAGAGCAATGATTATCTTGCTCATAAGAAATGTACATAAGTGAACTGCTTATTTACAAGTTGTAGCAAAGAACGACAAAAATGGAACACCAAGTATATTGTATCTACTTCTTTGTTTAAGGTTTTATTGGATTCTTCATGCTCTTTTTCAGGTACTTATTGACAACGAGGAGGTCGAATCTGGAGAACTAGAGGCTGACTGGGAGTTCCTTCCACCAAAGAAGATCAAGGACCCGTCTCAGAGCAAACCGGACGATTGGGATGACGAACCAACCATCCCTGACCCTGATGACCAAAAACCAGAAGTCTGGGACAAGCCTGAGCACATTCCTGATCCTGAGGCCAACAAACCTGAAGATTGGGATGATGAAATGGATGGCGAATGGGAAGCCCCCATGATTGATAACCCGGAATACAAGGTTAGTCTCATGGAAATGCATTTAAAAAATTGTTTACTCATGGAAATGAAGAAAAGGGTAATTTTTTTCTATTCAGGGTGAATGGAAACCGAAACAGATTGACAACCCTAATTACAAGGGACCGTGGATTCATCCAGAGATTGATAACCCTGACTATACACCCGACCCTGAATTATATAAGAGGGACGAAATTTGCGCTATTGGTTTCGATCTTTGGCAAGTGAAGTCAGGAACGATTTTTGACAACGTTCTGATCACAGACGACCCTGAAGTCGCTCGCAAATTCGGCGAAGAAGTCTGGAAACCCACTTTGGTAAGTATAGAAGAAAGAAGTTTTGTTCAACTAATGATAGAAATCGTATCGAATGATGTTAAAAGCATTGCTGATTCTAATGAGCGATAAGAAAGCTGGAATTCCTCGTTGCTGAAAGTGGCACGAGTGGAATTAACATGATTTTCACTGTAAGATAGCATTAAATTTGTTTTATGGTTGCTTCTGTGTTTCAGGAGGGTGAGAAGAAGATGAAGGAAGCTCAAGACGCAGAGGAAATAAAGCAAAGAGAAAAGGAGAGCAAAGAGAACGAAGATAACAAGGATGATGACGAGGATGAGGATGCGGATGAGGAGGACAACAGTGTCCCTGATGCTGAAGTAAGCATGAATCATTTAAGAATATTCTTTAATTATTTTTTTCAGTAATTCTCATGCAAACATGATGATTCTATTTAACTCTGAATCATTCTGCAGAAAGTAATGGCTAGAATTCTTTATTGCTAAGAATTAAATTCAACAGAAATTCCCACCCTTTCTCCTAATTTCAACATCTGCTAATTACTCGCTTTTTTTTCTTGTATGTTTTCAGGAGCATGACGAATTGTAAATAGTGTGTCGTGATTGACACGAACACAGACTGTATTCCAGGAGCTGTGTGGCCGCGACACGCACCAACTTCCCACGAGAAACAAAAAATCACGTTGCGACAAGAAATTGCCATAAAATCGAACGGGGGATTCATTAGCTCGAATTGATCGAAAACCAGACCCGACACCACGTATTAAATTTTCAGAAAATTTTCAAACAGTGAGATTCAAAGATTTTTCTCTCTCTCTCTCTCTCTCTCTTTTTTTTTTTTTGATGCAAACATGGCCTCGTATTCGCGCAGCCTACACACTTTTTAACCTAGTCTTCGATCGATCGTTTGTTCGTTCATAATCCCTTCACCCCCATCTATCCATGGAAAATTCATCAGTGAGAAAAAACATTGTGTGTCGAGAAAAGGGCAAAGAGAAAAGAAACAAAAATCAAAGTGCTCATTTTGTGTGCTGCAATTGAAAGAACACATACACAGACGCATTATATATACATACACAATGCATATATAATATATATGTATTATATAAATAGAGTCATCTTGCCCCGTGTCCCTCCCATG